AAAGTTACAGGCACACAGTAGGTGCTCACTAAATGCGATTTCTTTCCTGTCCTTGCAGCCTGGAAGCCAGGCCATCTTTTGCCCACATGCCCAGGCCCAGTCTCCCCTTTGGCCCACCCAGGCACCGATCCTGACTTCTGAGCCTGGGCTGGAACCCCAAGAATCCACCACAGCCACGTCAGCCCCACTGTGCGTGGGTCCTGAGCCCACCCGAGCCCCAGATGGGACCCAAGGGCTTCTGCTCCTTCGTTTCTCATTCCCTAGGCCAACTCCTATGCCCTCAAAGTCTAGCTCAGCTGCCACCTCCTCCAGGAAGCCCTTGGGGAACCTATCCGGATGTAAACTCTGATGTTCTTCCTCTGGGCTCACGTGGGCCTTGGCGCTCCCCCTTCTCAGCTCTGATTGCCTTTGTGGTAACTCCTTTTCCTGTCCTACCTCCCCCAGGGCACTGTCGACATCCCAAGACAGAAACAGCGTGTGGCTCACCACATCCTGGCAGCTGTAGCTGGCCCGTTGCAGGGTCAGGGAGTATGCCCTACCTGCCAGGCAAAGAGCCAGGGACCCACATGGAGGTCTCCTTCAAAGTGAAGCCAGCAGGGAGGAAACGAAAGCAAGGTGAGTGTTGCAAAGTCCAAACCCAATACATAAACTGAACTCCTGGATCCAGCCATTCCTGAAGCTAGTGTCTCCTACACTTTTCCGTTCCATAAGCCAGTAAAGCCCCTTTTATACATAGGCCCGTTTGATTTGGATGTTTCTGTCCGTTGCAGCTAGACGGCCCTCTACCGTGAGGCTCAGCGAGGTGATCTGATGACCCAAAGTCATATACCCAAGAAAGCAGCAGAGTGAGACTCTGGTATGAGAGCCTGGCTCTCAGCCTGGTTCAGTAGCTGACCACAGCCCAGCACCCAGGCCCAGCAGCCTGGGTGTAGCTGATGCCCCACTCTGCCTGGCAGTAGCCCTCCCACCTCTTTCCTAGAAGCAGGTGGTGTCACACTGATAGGGATTTTGGGCACTGGTTTGCTCATCTGTTGAATGGGGCTAAGGACCCCTCCTGCACAGGCTCGCAGTGAAAATCAGAGGATGCCGCACACTGGCCTGGTTCACGTGTTGGGGGGATTCGGGGAAGGGGGAGGCTGCAGTGTGGACCCTCAGTCCCACCTTCTCCTGGCTGATGGCCCACCTCCAGTTGAAGGGCTCCGTGGAGCTCCACGCCCAGCCAGTCCTCCCAGCCCTCCCAGCTCGGCAGCACCCCCACTTCTGAGAAGGGGTCTGGCTCTCTGATGGAGGGGGTCAAGGTCCTGCAAAACCCTTGCTCACTCCAAGCCTAGGGGAGGGGTCTACACAGGACAAGGCTGGCAGTCCTCCGGGAGATGCGGGGGTCCAGAGGTGGCTCCGTGGACTCCATGTCCCACCACAGGCCACACCCCTGGAGAAAGGGTCACATGGAAAACATCCAGGCCTGAGGACAACTCTCTGAGGATGCGGGCTCTTCAAGGTGTGGCAGGGAAGGGACAGGAAGGAAAGGCATCCAAACCTGATGTATCTGGTGACCAGGAAGCAGGCTCCTTTATGCTCCAGCAAGTGGAGGTGGGGGTGTGGAGCCCGGCCCCCGCTGGGGCTGTCGGCCCCTTATGCAGCCACAACCCACCCGCTAACCAGGAGGACCAGCAGCAGCGATGCTTGAGCGCGAGAACCTACTTCGGCGGAGCCGGGCTGAGGAGGGGCACGGTATAACTGGGCCTTGGTCTGGGGACTTCCAGGGGTTTCGGGGAGGGAGTGCTGGGCAGCCCCCGGGCTCCCTCCACAGCCCGGCTTTGTCTCCCTGCTGCAGGTGGCCAAGCTCAGTCCCTCAGCCCCTACTTCCCTTGCTCAACGCTTCGAGCCCAGGCTCCCACGACCCTGAGAGGCTCTGGCCCTCTCTGACTGCCACCTGCTCTCCAAATGAACTTCAAATCTCCCTACTTCTTTTTGACTTTCTAGCTTTGCTTCATCTTAAGCACTGACACCAGTGAAATCACGAATCTGGTACGCTAGCTGGTTTTGTTTTCCAGGCAGCAATGTGTACCTTTGAAAATAAACCACATCCGGCCAGGTGCCCTTCCCTTGCTGGCCACCCCCCCACCGCCTTTTTATCTGGTTTGTTTGTCGCTTTCGTATCCCGAGACAACACAGTGCTCGGTACACGGCAGGTGTTCAATAAATGCTGGCTGAATGACTGAATGAGTGAGGTGCTGAAGCTCTGCAGGGAGTCACGGGGCGCTCTGGCTCCCGGCTCCACCAGGCCGGTCCGCAGGTGAGGACGTGAGGCCTCAGGACAGGGGGCAGCCCATCTGGGGGCCCCTGTAAGCTAGCAGAGGCCCCTACCCAAGAGCCCCCTGTCCTGATCCCTGATGCTCTCCCCCTGCCTGCCCGCGGGGTGCCCTCTGCCCGGCTGGACAGGAGGGGTCTTCCCTCAGGAAGGCAGGTCATTGCTGGAGACGCCATGCTGGGGGCCGAGGCCCTGGGCTGTGAACGGCCCAACCACTGGGGTCCTCCCGTGGCCCCGGCTCACTGGGGTCCTCAGGGGTTCCATGGATGGGTCAGGCAAAGCCTTTGCTGAGCCACGCTCAGCAACCAGCAAGCTTCCCTGACCCTAGTCCCGGCTACTGGGGGCCCGGGGACAGGCAGCCCCTCCTGGGGACTGGAGTCCCACTCACTGCAAAGGGATAAACTGAGACCCAGGGATGCAGGCATCATGGGATCATTCACCCCGTCCCCTGCACCCTGGACAGAGGCTGGGAGTCGTTCCGGGTCCAGACCCTACCTCCCCAGTGTACTCGGCTGGGAGCCGCTGCACAGACCCCTAATGTCTCTGGGCCTGGGTTTCCACAGGGCCTGCGGTGACAGGAACTCCCCTTCCCAGGCGCTGTCAGGGCCACAGGGGTGCTGCCACTCTCAGAGGGCCAGCCTGAGCATGCGGGACAAGGGCGCATGACAGGTGGCCCTGGAAGGAGGCCGCCCTACTTACTCTGAAGCAGAACGTGCTGGGGAACCTCCCTGTGGGACAGGTGGCCCAGTCCACCGCCTCGCCAAAGGGGATTTCCTGCAGGACAGCACAGAGCCTCACCGAATCTCTCATTCCATGTGTCCAGAGCTGCCCCCACCCTGGGACTGTCCCTGGAGTCCCTCCTGCCCCAGGGATCTGCAGATCCTCAGGGTTCCGCTCTGGACCATTTTAGGAAGAAGCTGAAGTTGCCGCGGGTGTGGGAGCTCCCCAGGGGACATGCACATACCACTGCTCAGCTGGGGAAATGGCCCTGGGGGAGTGAGGGGGAAGACCTGCCAGGGCAGTGTCCTCTTGGCACAAAGCTGACCCCGTGGACTGACGGACGAACGGGAAGCCTCTGCCCCCTCGCCCGAGCCTCCGCGCTCGCAGTGTGTGCTCCCCGGGGAGGGGCGCAGCCACACCAGCCGCGCTCCGGGCCCTTTGCCGCTGTCTGACCCCTGCAGGCCTCAGCTCACTCAGCTGTGAAGTGGGTGTGGGCCACAGCCCCTCTTTCTCAGGGTGTTTGTGGAGCCCCGGACGTCCCCCCTCCAGGGCGTGGGGCTGGTCCAACCCCCAGGGGAGCGAACGAACTTCCCGCCTGCAGCTGAGACTGCCTTCCTGGCAGCTGCGGGGAAACACCTGGGGGGCCGGGCCGGCTGCACCCTCCAGGCAGTGAGAAGAGGGTGCAGAAAACAGTTCCCGGAAGTGGCCGCAACTCCGACAGGAGCCCCAGAGACCCTCCCCGGGGCTGCTGCCCCCCAACAATCGGCAGCTCCCCCCAGGTCTGCCCGGCGGCCGAGCCCCCCACCTGCCCCTGGACGGGCAGTCGGTACTCACAGTGTCACCCGGAGAGGCCGGGGGTCTTCCTGGAGCCCTAGGGCCCTGCTGCCTCCATGGCCCCTGGGGACAAGCTGCCGGGCCCTTCCCACTGCAGGGCCTGACCTCCGACTTCCTCCCTGCTCAGCCCGCATCCAGGAAACCACGCCCTGGGCACCCTGGGGCTCCTGCCCGCCCTCTGCCCAGGGGGCGCCCTTCTTCGAGGACTGGCCAGTCCGAGTGCCCCAGACCAGGCAGGCCCCAGAGGCTCCACCCGATAAATAATACAGATCCCTCCCTGCTGGTCTCTCGTGACCGATCCCGTTTCGGGGACACTCGAGTTTCGTCCAGGCTGCTTTGTTCAGAGTGCCAGGCCTGGCTGGGTCTCTGGCCCAATGGGTGCTACCACTCTCACTGAGGGCCAGCCCGAAGGACAAAGGCACAGGACAGGTGGCCTGGAGGGAGGCTGCCCTACTTAGTCTGAATGCAGGCCCACACGGGACCTGGGGGGGCGGGGTGCTCAGCCTGGCCCCTTGTGGCTGGGTGGGTCTCTGAGGCCTCCACGCACTCAGCTCCTGTGCCCACACTAGTGGTGCCACCTGGACAGCCCTTGGGCCCCTCCCGACACTGCCTGGCCCATCCCCCACTCCTGGAGGCCCTGCCCAGGCCCCTCCTCCAGGAAGCCTCCCTCCAAGAGCGAGTGAATTGCTCCCCGTCTGAATTCCCACTGCCCGCAGCTGCCAGTACCATCTCTCTTTGAGACGGGGCCACTGCCTCCTGACCAGTCTCCCTTTTCCCCCACCCCCTCAGCACCCACACCCTGCCCTCTGCACTGTCTCATTTCCTCATGGCAGCCCAAATGATTGTTTTAAAACAGAAAGCACATCGCATCATTGTCCTGCTTAAAACCCTGCCCTGTCTCTCCTTCAACCTCAGTAAACTCTCAAGTCCTCAAAAGAGTCCAGTTCTGGACCCTGGGGATGGCACATTCCTGCCTCCCTGACCTTCATCCCAAATGCCCGGCCTCAGGGCCTTTGCACCTGCTGTCTTCCCGTCTGGAACCGTTCTCCCCCAGGTCTCCCCAAGCTCCCTCCTTCCTGCCACTCTTGACTCAAGGCCACGCCCTCTCACACAGGCCTTTCTGTTCTTTCTCTCGTTTGTTTTTAAATGGTTTTATTGAGGTATCACTCACATTCCATAAGATTCACCCATTTAAAGTGTGCAACTCGGTAATCCCAGCATATCCAAAGTTGTGCAGACATCACCCACAATCTAAGTTTGGAACACTTTCATCGTCCCAGAAAGAAACCCTGTCCCCGTGAAGCCGTCACGGTGGGCACCACGCCCCAGCCTGGACAAGCACCAGCCTGCTTCCTGTGTCTGTGGACCTGCCTCTTGCGGACAGTCACGTAAACGGGACCACACACTCCGTGGCCTTTCATGACCGGCTCATTCACGTAGCCTGGTGTCGTCAAGGTTCGCACCTGTCATAGCATGGACCAGTGCCTCACTCCTTTTCACGGCTGCCTCGCATCTCACTGTACGGACAGACCCGCTCGGCAGCGGCAGGACACCAGGGAGAGGCTTTTCTGGAAGGACCACCCAGGCCACGTGGCCCTCCTGCGCGGTCCCTCTGTCACTCCGCCCAGCTCCGTCCTCTTCCGCGGATCCCTGTCAGAAGACACCTTCGTCCGCCTGTTTCGCTTACTGTCCGTCTCTCGCCTGAACGCCAGCCCCGTGAGGCCTGGCTGTGCGCACACTCGCTGCCGGACCCCTGGGCCTGGCGCACAGCGGGTGCTCAGCCTTTGTCACCACCTGCTGGGTTGCTTGTACCCACAGATGCCCCTGCCTGGTTCTCCCAGGGCAAGTGCCACCCCCACGGAGAAGGGCCTCACCGATGACCCTCACAGGGACCCTATAACTAGTAACTGGCCCGTGGGCCCAGGCTCCTCCTCTCCCGGTGGAACGGGGCCCCTTCCACGGCGGGTGTGAGCGTGCACGCGCGGTGCCGGGCACTGAAGAGTCTTCAACTCCTGCGCCGAGACTCCGCGGGGCGCAGGCCACGGGGCCACGCGTGGGGGCGGGGCAGGTTCCCCTCAGCCCTACCTGTGAGGGGGAGCAGCCACGAGAGTCCGCGCAGCACCCAGAGCAGGGAGGTGAGGGCGCACTCCACCCTGCCCGGCCCAGGACCTCCCGCCAGAGCTGGACTTGGCTCTCGTGCCCAGAGAGCGGCCGGGTCCAGAGGAGGTGAGGACCGGACTGGAGACCCCATCCCCAGCCTCAAGGAGTCCTGGCCACTGCAGACAGAACAGGGGAGCAGATGGGTTAGGGGCCAGAGCACAGGGCCAGCACCCTGCGAAGTGTGTGTGTAGGGGTAGGGTGGGGGGCATCACAGGAGGAGAGGTGCCAGGCTGGGAAAGACCCTCCCTGCCCAGAGCTGCCCAGGCCCGGCCAGGCTGGGAGGCGGGGGCGCTCCCAGCCCCAGGAGCTGTGCGCACGGGCCTCCCACCGAGGGACATCAGATGGCTAATTGTCCGGGAAGCTCCCTGGAAGCTCCCAGAGCCTGGCTGCCAGCTGCTCCCCAGCCCGCCTCCCCAGATGTACCACCGCAGGGAAGGGGCCTGGGGCAAGGCCTGCTCAGCCCTCCCCCCGCCGCCCCACCCCCACCCAGCAGCCAAATGCCCCACTGGCCCCACTGGCCCCTCAGGGCAAAAAGCGACCTTTCCTTCCCAAAATAATGCCAGATTCCAGAGAGACTTTACCACCTGACCCCAGAGGCTGAGGGTTACCAGCACCACAGAGTACAGGGTGACAGACAGGGCTCCTGAGGTGTGTGCTCAGAGACAGGGCTCCAGGCAGCACCCACCCCGCCTGGGCAGCCTGCGGGCAGCACCTCATTTAATCTCAGAACAGTCACTTCTCCTGTAGGAAGGGCTGAGCCGGTTCCAACCTCAGCTCGGCCTGACTGCTAAGCTGGCTCCACTGGCTTTGTCATCTGCTTCCGGACTCTGACTCCTTCGGGTGAGGGGAGGGGACGAGGATCGCTGGCTGCCAAGCCAACAGGACCCATTGAGGGTCTCCCCACGAAGCCCGCCCGGCTCGAGATGCTTAGGAACTGGCCCCCGAACGCTCATCTTACCACCTCCCGTGGGCAGTTCTGACGTCCCTGTGCCCGGCTCCTTGGAGTTCTGTCCAGGAGACGGTTCCAAGCCCGCGGAGCCCCTCTGAGACCTGAGGCCCAGGTTCCAGAGACTGTGCCCCTAGCCTCCAGGCTGCAGCCGCGGAAGCCCCAGGCAGAGGGCCAGGGCCGGCCGGCAGCCGCTCCCCACACGCCTCGCGCTGTTCCAGATGTGAGCAGCCCCAGCCAGGGCAACAGGCGCACACGAAGGGGAATCCGAAGACGCACGTGGAAAGCTATGTGCTGTCCGATCACAACCCTCCAATTTGTCCTGCGGCCGCCGCCAACCCCGCCTCGGGCTGCAGACCTGCTGACTCGGGTCGGCCCTGGCAGCGGAGGGGCCTGGGACCCCACCGAGGGCCTGCTCTGTCTGTCAGTAGGTCTGTCGTCTCAGGGAGTGGCCTTCGCCCTCTCGGGAGCCCCCAGCAAAACGGGGCGGGGTTCTGGAGAGCAGAGACCGTCGCCTGGAGCCTGGAGCTCCCAGGGCCCATCCTCCCCGGATAACCACAGGGCGCCCTATACTTACGGGTGCTAAGCGAGGGTTTGGGGCAAGCCCAGCGCCAATTACGGTCCACGCCCACCCTGAGCGGGTCCTCTGTCACTGACGGCCAGGCAGCCACCGTGCCAGTGTGCACACCAGCCCCGCACCACAGGCCTGCTCATCGCCACCACATGGCCAGCAGTGCCCACAAACACTCGGTGGGCACTGACCGCGAGCCCAGCCGGCCCTCATCCCCGCCCTGTAGATGAGGAGACCGAGACGTGGAGAGGCCCGTCTGCAGGGCTCCATGAGGCTAGGATGCTCCTGCTCAGAGGGGTGAGCCCCGGCAGAGCACGGTGGGGCCTCCCAGGCCTGGGCCCACTGCATCCTGTCAACAAGCCCTGAGGTTTCCAGAGCGCCCATCCCCGGAAACCACGGCTCAGAACAAGACACAGGAAGATCCTTCTGCAGTTAGTGGGAAAGGCGCCCAGGGGCTCACCCTGCCTGGCCTGGCCTCCGAGGTGCCCGCCCAGGGAGGTCTGTCCCAGGGTCTACAGAGGGACAGGCGGCTGCTGACTCACTCCGGGGGTGAGCTTTCCTCTCTCTGTTCCCACAGCCAGCCTGCATCACCACCCAAGAGAAAGCCTCAGTCCTCACTGTCTGCCCTGTTTCCCTAAAGCCAGGCCCAAGGCCTGTCCCTGAAAGGCCTCTCATCCTCACCCACCCATCCATCCAGGTCGCAAACACTCTGACCCAGCAGCAAGGACAACTGTGGCCATTGTAAGATAAGATGGCCTCCTATCACAGCGAGCATGACCTCGGCAGCTGGGTTTCCCTTTTTCCCTTGGCTGCTAGGAAGCTCAGCACTTTTCATCTCTGCGGAAGGACCCCAGGACCCTGCCTATCTCTGTTCCATTCTATCCCCCTCCCAGGCCATGACATCCTATACTACATTGTGCTTTTCCTGATCCTGATGTTTTATTGTTTATTTTACTGTAGGTGTTTTCCTATAAGTGGTCACAAATATTTTGGGAAGGAAAGAAGGCAGGCAAGCAGGCAGGAAGGAAGCAAGAGGAAGTTTGTATAGTTTACATACAGGTAACGAGGGTGGGAAGAAAGAGGGAGACTCTTCCAACCCTTTACCTTGAAGTGAAAAATATGCCCTAAGGTGGTGTCCAAATAGACATCTTCCAAATAGGTGTGGCCCCTAGGCCCCTCCCAGCTCCTCTGCAGACTGAGGCTGAGATCCGGCCTCCCCTGACATCACTCGGGATTGGGCACGCTGTTCCTGGTCTGAACCCTTTCAACAGCTGTGGAGGCTGGGGCCAGCTCGGTGGGCGGGGGCGGGCGGGGTGCCTCCCCAGGGGCACGTTCTGCTCTGCCTCCTGCTCCACCCACTGTGCAGGGCTCCATCCGGGCACACCTCCCCCGCTGGTGGGGGGAAGTCCAGAAGCAGCGGCAGCTAAGCTTACCCCACGCTGGCCTAGTGCCAGGCCCTGCCCTTTGTTACCTCATTTAATCCTCACGCTAATCCTGTAAGTATCTGCAGGTGGGAACCTCTGGCCAGAAGCACGAGGCCACTTCACCCCACCAAAGCCAGGAAAATGCGGGAGGCCTGGTGCCTGAGTCCGGGCTCGGTACTCAGCAACCGTGTGGACAATGGTGTGGAACAGTCCGGCACGCACTGTGTTCTGAAGGAGCCCCACCAGTGGGTGACAGCTCAGAGAGGCTGGGGGATGGGGCCAAGGTCACTCAGCTGTGGCCAGGGCCAGTGTGCTGTGTGACAAGCGCCAGCTCCTGTGCCCACTGGCGTGTGCTAGCCACACTGGAAGTGCCAGGCACCCTCTGGTGCACCCGGGCAGGCGTGCTCCTGGACCCTCCCCCCTCTGCCTTAGACTCTGACTTTCTCCAAAAGAGTGCCAGGCGGGGCCTGTCCTGCCTCCATCCCTGCTCCCCGCCAGGCCAGGCTGCCTGGACCTCACGGAGCCAGTGCAACCGGACCAGCCTGGTGCCCGCCCGCCTCCGCCCGCCAGGCGACAGCCACAGAGCTGCGTCCACACACGTGTCCCCTGGTACCTGAGGGTCCTCACAGAGATGCAGTACTTCCACATAAGGCTCCACACGGCGCTGCCACCACCCTTCATGCCTGGCCAGGTGGGCAGCGGGCAGCCTAGGGTCTCCTCCGGCCAGTGGGCTGGCACTCAGGTCACTTCCTTCTCCATGGTGGGAAGAAGAAAGAAAGGTCCGAGCCAAGGGAGGGGAAGGCGCTGGCTCCCACAGGCCACCGCAGGTCCCCGCCACCGGCCTGGCTGTCCCCAGGCCAGCCTCTGGGCTGTGCTGGCCCTGTCCGGCAGCTCCAGACCCTCCTGGCCGAGTGGCCCTCGCGCACCAGACCCTGTGGCTTCTGCACAACCTTGCGCCTGCCTCCTG